TCAGCACCTTGTTCAGTTTTTTGCAAATAAAGACAGGTCCTTCTATGAACGAGGAATTATGAAGCTCACTGAAAGATGGCAAAAGGTTATCGAACAAAATGGGCAATATATCATTGATTGATCTTTGTTCTTTAAATAAATGACCTTTGAAGCACAGAAAAAATACATCATGACTTTTCCGACAACCCTATAGACTACGTGGAGAGTGGCTTGTGTAGGCGTCCCGGCCAGAGAATCTTCTTGGGCTGGTAACTTAGGGACTCAGACAGGACACCGAGTCCCATATGCAAAGTACTGGTACTGGCCAAAGGCCCTTCCCTCTTCTGAGAAGTGGAGTTGCTGTAAAGATAGTTCATCTACACTCTGCGTGCCACCATGTACTCAGTTCCTACCTTGAAGGTGTTGAAGGCCTGTTCGTAAAGCCGAAATAGTTGTTGGGAAGCATTTTGCCTAGGGAAAATCTTGACGATTTTAAGGATAAATCCATTTGCTGCTCTTAACCAATTCTGATGCCAGATCTATATTTCCTGATAGAATATGCTAGAGCTGTGATACTGACCTTTAAAAAGTATTTTGGTCATCACATGAAGTCTTAAGAGATTCCCATCAACAAAACTCTATAGTGCATCCCTAGCCATGTTGACTTATGACATTATGTGGTCACTATTAGGGTAGGTGACATAATAAACTGGAAGAACCATAGTTTGGTCCCAAAGGTGTGATTATCCAGTAAGTATTTATGTCTTTTGGCCATGTTAGGAGAGCAGAACAGTGTGATTATTAGCTTAAATTCAGTAGGCATCTAGGATGTGCATGTAACTTCTGACAGGTTAGACTGCATAGCAATTTGGACATTTGTAGAGAATTTTGTTTTATGTAAAAACACTCCTAAGGGAAAAAAAAGGGTACTGTCGCTTTTAAGATCCTAAGGTGCTCCTATAATGACTATTACCAATTAACATACCTACTTTGTACCTTTCAAACCTTCCTTTGATTATGGTTAGTAAAGGACATTGAAAATGACAAGCTCAATATATAGGCGCTAAGTTTTATAACTTTTGTTACTGAGTACACACTAGGTACCAGCAAAGAGAGTATTCATTCATCTTAGGGATTTAAATCTAAGAAAAGTCAGTATGGTAAATGATAAAACCCAGATAGTAAAATGATAAAACCCAGATATAAAAACAGTAAAATGAGGAAACCACAAACTCTCTTTCCATCTGAGATTACTTGATTTGGATTTGTCTTACAGGTCCACTGAGCACAGTGTGTAGTATCTTTGGACAATGTTTCTCATACTATAGGTATTCAATAAATATTTATAAGGCTAAACATGTGGATAATTGCTAGATAAGTTGCTCTTTGGTGCTACAAATATAATAAAATCATGGTATAAAATATTGAGGGAAAATGCTTAGAAAATTATTTCATTGCAAAACTTTCTAGAAGTTTTGACTATGTATCTTAGTTGCAAAGAAGGCACTTTTTTATTTTCACTATTAGTCTATCTTCAGCTATAACCAATAGTGCTGCAGCAAATGATGAAGTATCTGCCTTTAGAGAACTTACCTCTAATTGACAAAATAAGTGATTACTACATAAAAAAGCCAGTTGTTGCCTATTTTAAATTTTCAATATTGGCATTGTTAAGGGCAAGGTCAAAGGATTTCAAAAGCCAGGGAAAAGAAAGCAATCAACAGCGAAGAACACTTTGCTGGTACCTAACAAAGAACAGTTGGAGATGTGATAAATTATCAGCATGCCATTCTTCTTCTTAGGTCCCCAATGTATGACAGTCAGCTACAAAAATCAAGCATAAATGAGATATGAATATTTAAGCCACCTAGATTTTAAAAAAATGAAGGGTACTGATTTATTCCTTATATTATCTTCATAGACTATACATAAACTCCTAGAGAATAAAATATTTTTGTATGATTTATACAACATATTGGATATTGAGGCTCAATAAAAATAAAACTGGTTGTCGTCTTCTGAACACAAAGGTATTGATACATATATAGTAGATATCCCCAGTTTATAATTGTATAAAATTAGTCATGGAAATGACACTTTCTGAAGGTCATAGATAGGATAAGGTCTTAGATCAGATTATATTCCTTTTTCCTTCCTCCTCTATCCTCAAATATTGATAGTTGAAGAGAAAATGAGTTAATCAGAATTTTCACTGTATTAACCACATTGTTTTATGTGGTAGTAAAATCAACAGATGTTAAATTACCAGTTATCCAAATCTGTAAATAGGGTTTTCTTTTTCATGAGCTAACAGTGGGAAGTTGTTTTATCTGTTGTTACCATAGACTCAACGGGTCCACTTGCCTGTGCACATCAGAGCCAAAAAAGACAGGAGCAGGAGTTTGCAGCAAAGAAAGTAAAGGTTTAAGGAGTTGGCGCCAAGCCGAGACATAGGTGAGCTAGTGCTCTCAAAAACGTGGCTCCCGATGGCCTCTAGCAGTTAGGTTATACTCATATAAGGGAAAAATCATTAATCATGGTTATTATGGGAGTTGGGGTCATGGGCTCTACTAATTGATCGGGGCTACGGCAGGCAGCAATTGATCAAGGGCTTCAGGCCCTGATGTCAGTCATAGCATTGTTTGGTCAGGTCCTCAGGGGGTGCGGTCTGTGAGGCAGTTCTTTCATGAATCTGGAGCTGAAACATAACTGAGGCCGAAGTGTTACCTTTGTTTGACTTAAACTTTATTCTAGTTTGACGTTTGGTTATTGTTTCTTGGTCATGGTTGATAGACCTGAGAAGCTTTACTCTCAAGTTTGACGCTGACCAGGATCTAATGTCCTAAGGGCTTAATGGTTAAAAGCAGAGGACATACAGTATATGTACATGTGGAAGCATCTAGGGGAAAGAATGCAAGAGAGTTATAGTTCTATCCTGCTAAACAAACCTAGCCTGGGTTAAAACAGAATGCATGCAAAAGAAATGAAGTTCATGGGCCAGCCGAGTGGCACGTTGGTAGGAGTTGGCTTGGGACGCCAGCTCTGAGCAGCACGGCCCAGGTTTGGATCCCACATGAGGGTGTGACGCTGCACCCACTACAGCTAAGATGGTGAACAACAGCTCGATCTGGAACTAGGCTGCTGTGAGTCACCGGCGACTGCATTGGTTGCAGTGGGGCTGCCCAACAGCTGGCGTGAGCTGCCATGAGCCACCATGAGCGCCCATCCAATGGCCAGCGAGTGACTGCCTCACCTGGGAAGAGCGCAATAATATCAACATGGGCCAGTGAAGCGACGTCCTCCACAACTAGACTGAAGAACAAAAAATGACAGCAACTTGTCTGTTCCCCTTTCCCCCGATTCCCCAATAAAATCTTAAAAAAAAAAAAATGAACTTCATGTGCAGTTACAATGTCAAAAATAGACATTTTCCCCACTAACATTTTTTTAAAGGGAAAAAAAATGTTCACAAGTTAAAACGTAATCCCCTTGAAGGCAGGGACTTTGTCTTATTTTCTGTTGTTTCTTCAGCACCTGTACCTGGTATGTTGGAGCTCAATAAATCGTTGCTGAATGGTAGTATCAAGTCAAATTGTCTTTTTTACTAATGCTTGTTTTTATGAATACTATTTCATTAGCTTTCTCTTATATGACTATCATAATTGGAGGTGGAAAAACATTTTTGTTCTTTTAAGTTATGATTCAATATCTAATTGTTGAGACAAACTTATGATATTTACGACCTAGAAAAGGATGAAGGAGCAGTTACTGAGAAGCAGTAACCACATGCTGTAAATTAAATACTTACTCTGTTATATTGAGGCTTTTTAAAAAGATTAAAATTGAGCAGTAAATAAGCATTGACAATTCCACAATTCACACTGAGATGTTTTCATGTAAATATTAAAATACATACAATAAAAAATACAGAATGGTATAAGATGGAAAGTAAAAACCCTCCTCCCCATGCTCTAATCTTCCAGTGTCCCAACTATAATAACAAGTTTCTGTAAAATACCAAAATTTAATAAATAAGAATTTCTAACAAGTCAGAGGCTTTGTTCTTCTCCACTGGTTTTACATAGTGTTGAGATACATTAAAATATTAAGCATCGCTACACTAATAGAGGATTGAAACTTAATTTTATAATAAAATATAGTTAACACTGGATTGCCAAAAGCCCATTTTCTTCACATTTAATATTCTTCCTCATTAACTTTGCTCAAACACAGATACATCCTATCCCTATTGATCACCAAAATTTTATAGTCTTATCTTGCAAGTGTAATATATATGTAATTAAACAGTTGGTAAACATATAGAGATTGAGCACAAATAAGGCCCACATGGTACTGCTGTGCAATGTATCTATCAACAGGTTAATCAGGCCAGTTGTTACATTTGACAGCAAGAAAAAAATCAACTGGTTTCTGTTCAGAGCTGTGATTAGACAAAGACTGGGTTCCTTTCTTTCAGCTTCAGAAACTAGCGATTCTGAATGCTTTTTATTTGTAGCAGGGGACTGGATCAGATTCCAAGAACATGGGACTACAGCCCCTTGAATTAGAAACTTGGCAAAACTCAAAATTATATCACCCAGTAATAAACTGCTAAGAAGGATCAGGCTAGAAGCAACTATCCAAATACAAAAGGCTAAATTGGCCATTCTTCGAGATACTATTTCTACATTTACCTGAACCATGTAAAGAGATATAAAGAGGCTAACAGCTGTCAGTAGAATACAACATACTACTTTTATCCAGTCTTTGATATGTGACCTTTTTTTAAGCACATATAACCCTGTCTGCACACCAGCCATGTGTATTGCCACATACCCCAAGGTAGAGATTATTCCTTCTCGGTTGGCATTTAACAAACCAACCCTTGTGCCACTGCCATCAGTGCCATACAAAATTAACCTTTTCAGTGGGGTAAACTCAAGGGCTAGTTGGTATAATACAGTAATGCTCACAGCCACAATCCAGGATTTATTTAGGGGGAAAAAAATCAAAAGCAGTGATGTTATCAATTTCACAGCTACTAAGGTAAAGAAAAAGTTCCAGTGAACTCCATACTCAGTTAAATGTTCTTGATAGCCTATGGATTTTATAATGATTAATCGTCCTATTCCTAGGAAGACTAATGGCCAAACAGATAACAATGACTTTGTAAGATAGTAAACTCTGGACCCTTCCAAACATTTTCTCCTAATCTCTGGACAAACCATTGCAGTCCCAAAAACAAAGCCTCCTACTCCAAAATCCATTGCTCCTGTCCCATAGAGCTCAGTTTTGGCAAATCTTCGAGGGAAAAGGGGAAAGTCCACAGCCAAAATGGCAATAGTAGTAAATGCACTGTTAATTACACGGAAACAGGAGATGGCTGGAATGTATTCTGATTCTATACTGGTTTTTAAGAATTTTTCAAGGATTTTCTGGACGGGCATTCTGACATAGCAAGTTCTCCTGCAGTATATTTGATAGAATAGCCCTGCCCCAAAGATAATTACAGCGAGGTGCTCAAGTAAGATAAATGAAGACAAAATGGTCAAAGTGGTCACCTGGGGGACTATTAGGAAAACAAAGTCAATGAAGAATCGAGATATCCAGGTATGTGAAGAAAAACACAAGTGCTGTGAGAGAACGATCAGCAGCCCTCTGCACAGGATACAGAGCGCAGGTAAGCACAAGCCCTGGGTAATTTCCAGCACGCTGGTTCCATTGTGGTTACTGACAAAAGCTTCCTTCATCTGCTTTTGTGACATTTTTTCTTCTTCCTGTGGTAAGAGCAAAAGGAATGCATTTGTGGAAAGCCAAATTCTTGTGGAAGTAGCATGTTAAGACTATGTAATGAAAACTGAATACACATAACTAATGACTTTAAGTCAAATTTAAGAGGGAGAGGGACAGGGGCAGAGAAGGTATTTAAGTACTTGGGGGGTTAAGTACACACTGGAGTCGGAGGCCTTGATGTCTGTTCAGCCTCTCTGAATCTACTGCCCCTAGTACAAAATTTGGGTCCCCCAGGGATCTCCTGTACCCCAGGCTTCCCCTTACATTTACAGACAGCCAAATTTCATTGTTAGGTGTAGGTAGACAGAGTGTATACCAATCATGGGGGGGGGGGAGCGTGTAGCACATACTAGTGTTGTTTTAAAAGTATATAAAACGCCTCTCTGCCACATATCAATGTCTGAAAAATGGCACACAGGAAAAACACATTTGTTGGTCAAACAAAAACTATACTGAACAAATGAATGCATACATGATGGACCGTCTGAGCCCAGCAACAATACCTCACGATAACAAACCGATACGAATCGGCTGGCCTTTAAGAGAGTCCTTTCCCACGGCCGCGCCGGGCCCTTATACCTGCCGTGCTCCAGCTGGTCCCGGCGCCCGCCGGCAGAGGGTCGTATACGTTGGCCGAGCGGCCCGTCTCCCACCGCAGACGCGGCACGACGCGGGAGCAGCAGCTTCCGCCTTCCTCGTTGCGCTTCCGGCCGAGGCGGGGCAGCCTGCGCTTCCGGGCCAGCCGACTCTGCGCGCCCCTGGGCCCGGGTGATGTCTGTTTCCCACGCCCCGCCGGCTCCCCACGCCTCCTCTATCGTGGCCTGCCCAGCCCCAGTCCTCTCCGGTACTGGCCGTAAGCCGGCTCGTCAGAGGGGCCCGGAGCGGGCACGGCGCGTCACGCGCGCGCCTCACCCCCGCTCAGACCCCACGGCGCGGCCGGTCAGAGCAGTGGGGTCAGAGGGTCCGGCGCGACATTCAGCCACGGCGTCCCGAGAAAGACCCCATAGCCCAGTGAGAGCCCGGAGGCCCAGGAAACCCTACCTGCTGTGCTTCTCTCGCCAGAACACCGGAGGCCTCCCTTTCACCCCCATCTTTTACCCCAGGTTCTCAAAACATTTTGTCTCCTGTCATACCCCCAACTCCGGATCCCGGCGTCCCCGGCGGGCCACGTGCACCGCGCGCCGCCTGTGCGCGCCCCGCCCCAGGGGAGGAGCCGGCCGGCTCCCGGCCACTTAGCCAGAGCGGCAGCGGCCGGGTGCGAGCCCGCAGCCTAGGCTTTCTCTCCTGGGCTCGCTGGAGCCCCTCCTCTTCCCTCGCTGGGCTCTTCCCGCCGCCTCACCCGGTCCGCCCGCCTCTCCGATCGTGCCGGGCGGGTCCGCACGCTCGGCGGCTCAGGCCGTGGGACCGGTGAGTGTCACCCCCAGCCCCGGTCTGAAGCCCTTCGCGACTCAGAAGGGACAGAGGGGCTGGCTTGCCCGCGGATCGCTGAGGAAGAAAGGGGCATCCCCCCCTCCCGTTTCCAAAGCGCCTTTTCCCTGCCCTTTCCCCTTTCTTTTTGACCTTCTTCGTATCCCAGGAGGAGGTAGCCCAGTTCCTGGTCCTTGCCAAGATCAAGGAGCTTTCATAGTCATCCTCCACCTCTCCACCTTGCTGGAGGCTCGTGGTGGGGGTCCCGGCTGGCAGGTCCCGGCTGGAAGGCTGGGTCCCTGCTCCTGCTCCTGGCCCTACCTAGGAACCGGGGAGGGGGCGGCTGGCCCCGGGAGGCGTCAGGGCAGCCGTGCCCTTGGCTGGGGTCACGTCCACCTTCCCGGGAAGGACGTACTCTCCCGTGCCAGGTGCTTCAGGAGCGGCATCCCAGCCCTTGGCCCGGCGGTCACCTCTCCAGGACCGGGAGTCCTCGGTTCCCTCTGGGAACCTCGGGGCGGGGCCGGCTGGGCTCCCAGGACCCTTCCCCGGCTCTTCTCGTGTGCCCTCCCACTGTCCACTGAGCCGAGAAAGAACCTAGGGCTGGGGAGGAGGAGCAGCTGGTGATCAGGTTGCCGCTTGTCTTGACTTGGTGTTTCATCTATTCATTACCGTCTCCCTCCTGCCCACAGTGGTCACACCCTTTCCAGAACTTGCCTGGTAACCGCGAAGCCGACTTGGAGCAAGAGGTGGGAGGACTGGAGAAAACCGCTCTAATCTGACTTGACTCTGGCTGGGAGCTGACGTTGCATGTAATAACCAACATTTACAGAGCGCTCTCACAGGTACTAGCCCATTTGATCCTGAACTCTGTATTGTGAGGTCTGGGACATTAGTATTCCCTTCTGCAAAAGAGGAAATAAAGTTTAGTGAGCTCTAGTAATCTGAATCCGAGGGGGTATGGGCTTTGGAGTCTAACCCCATTTATCATGCTCCCTGCTCTGGTCCTCTCTAAGATGAGCTTACAGTTGAGGGAGTTTTGTTCTCCTGGAGTTTCCGGAGCCCTCTGCATGACTGTCCCTTAGACAGGATACAGTCAGTGTCCAGGGTGAATGTGTCGCAACACAGTCCTATGCCCTTCTCTGCCTGAATTGTCCATTTTTCAGTTTTCATGGACGTGCCTATCCCTGAGTTCTTGCAAAGGCTACATGTAGTCAGAGCCTCAAAAAAGTCTCCACCAGGTTTAATCCCTTACAGACACCTCATCCTCATCCCTCCTTGCTGGGACAGTGTGAGGCCTGGGGAATTCTGAGTCTGAGGGTCACTTAACAGTTTTTCAGAGATTGACCTCGGTCCAGCCTCACAGCACCCTCCCCAGATGGATTCCCCTCCTCTGAAATCCTCACCTTTGACACTGGAGAGTTTTACCTGATTAGTGCTCCCCAAATATTGTTAGTTGTACTAATAATATTCCCCTCTGAGTGAACATTCAGATTGGTACCTTGTGGGGTGCTTTCAATCCATGATCTCATTGACCTTCACAGCTACTCCTTGTGAGGTAGATTTTACGATCTCCATTTTCGAGATGAGGAAATCAAAGTGGGCCAGGAAGGTGATGTGACTTGCCATTGAATGACTGAGCTGTGATTTCCCTCCCACACAACAGCTTTCCTGGATCATCGAGTTGACTCCAGCCTCTCACCCCACCAAATACTGGCTATACTAACAGGACATTTTTGCCAAGTGGAGAGGATAGAGCACAAGGTTTCTCTGTCTCCCAGCATCTTCATCCTTCGTGTTACAGTGACCCAGAAGATTTGCAGCCCCACCACAAACCCCAATGTAAAACTTGCCCTGGAGGAGCCCAGGGAGCCTCCAGAATCTCTCGTAAAAGTTTCCCCTGTTCCCTAATTAGCAGGGGACAGGAAAGACTCTCCCTCTCTGCCCAGGCTTGCTCCTGTTCTAATTTTGGTTCCTCCTGCTTGATGGGATGAGCTGGAGTGAGTCACCCTGGAGAAGCCCTCACCTGTGTGTGGCCCTTGTCTTCTCTCTCATGCCACAGGCTCTGGAGTGACTTGTCTTGGATCCCTCCAGCATTGAGCCCTTTGTTGGACCCATGCCTCAGCCTGTGCCCCCATGAGCAGGTGGATAGCACTCCTCGTGCCTGTGACCCAGAATCCTGGCTGACCACCCTGAAGCAGGATGCTCCAGCAGGTAAAACCTCACCCTTAGATAACCCAGATCCTGAAGCACCTGAGACACCTTCCCTTCTTTCACTTGTCTGAATGAAGTTTCATTTCCCTGACCTGGAACGAAGGGAAAGACCCCTTAAAGGGCTTTCTTCTTTTCTCTCTTCAGATAGTTATTCCAGTGCCTTTCACCTGTTGTCAAGAAGCTCTTTCTGATGCCTAATTTGAACCTCTCCTGTTGTGGTTTTTAGCTCTTTTCCCTAGGATGGGTAAGGGAATCCTGAGGACACTTTGGTGACCTCACAAGCCTGAACTAGTGAGGAAGTCCTGAGAGATGTGTCTGCCATCCTGAATTTTTGAGGCCCAATGGAAGCCTGGGGCTTCCAAAAGGAGGTGTTCCTTGAAGCTGAGCCTTAAAGAATAAGTAGGAATTAGCCAAGTGGAGAAAAAGAGGTCAGCCTCTGCAAAAACATGGGAGAAGATGACCTATGTGGAAGTATAGAAGGATTCTGATGAATTGACCATAGGTTGCATGGGAGATTGCTATTGGGACATGAAACCTGCCATTAACTCCAGATCTTTGCCTCTCTGTAAAGGGCCCCAGGCCTGCAAGATTCCAAATCACCCCTCACTGTGGAGCCTCATCTCATACCCATATCATCCTTCACATGCAGCCCTTGGTCCAGACAGAATGCTGAGTTTTTATTTACTGTAACTGGGCTGATGTTTAAGGTGATACCTACCCTCAAGGAGCTTATGGTCTAGTGGAGTCCTAGACAGGCAAGTGCCTGAGATTCAGCAAGATGACCGAGTATAAGGCCAGCCAGCCCCAAGGGAGCCAAAGTAGACACCGCAGTTTGACCTTCTTCCAGCCTTTTGGCTCATGAAACAGGCTTCAGGGCTGAAGAGAAGCAAGGAGGATAAATGTCTGCTTTAGACTTTTTATTGTTCATTTTTAACTTGTTTATTTTTATTAAAAAAATAGTAACATTCATAACCATAGCAGCTATTCCGCATGGAGCCCTTGCTATGTACTAGGCATTTTACACATGTAATTTTGTTTAGTCCTTGAGAGATACAGTGTTATACATGCAGGCTATTATATCCCCATTTTGGATATAAGGCTCAGAGACATTAAGTGACCTAGTCAAGGTCACATTTATTACAAGCAATGTAGACAATATAGATAAGCAAAAAGAACATTAAAATTACCCATAATTGTACTACCCAGAGATAACCAACATTTTAGAGAATATCCTAGAATTTTCTTACCTAAATACATATTTTTAAAACATTTAAAAGTAACATACTTTTTTATAACCTGTTTTATTCCACTGTAAGAATGTGCTATAATTTAAGCTATCTACTATTTGGAAATCTGGGTTTTCAATTTTTTATAATTATAAATGGCTCTATATACACTGAACATTCTTCTGGCCTTTCCATAGGACCATTTTCTAGAAGGAGGATTGCCGGCTTAAGGGACATATGTAGTTTTAAGGCCCTTGATATATTATTGCCTAATTAGAACAGCTGCTTTTAAAATAACAATAATAAACTTTTGGGGGCAAATACCAGGGCCTTTTTAAAATGCTTTGTGTGCTTATTAGTATCTTATGAGGTCCTAACACCATTGCCATTTTACAGATGAGGAAAATTGAGACACAAAAGAGTAAGAAGCTTACATAACATTATACAACTAGTAGGTATTGGAGTCAGGATTCAAACCCAGGCAATCTAGCTTTCAAGTCCAGGCTTTTGACTATAATACTCAGCTGCCTCTCTGGTTGGATCGGAGCTGTCCATAAGTTAGGGTGTGAGTGATTTCCCCACACACACCCTAAGCAGAGGGATTTGCGTGGATCCAGCCATGCTCTGACCTCAGCACTTATTTCTGGAGGCCAAGAGCTGCCTTTTGCATTATGGTGGGCCCACGTTCAGAGAAGAGGCAACATCTTTGGAAAAAAACTTATTACTGAGCCTCTCAGATGACACTTGCTACATAGCTTGAGTGGTTTTAATTTGTAGGGTTCACTAGTCTCATTGGAAACCCACATGTTATATCGCAGACCCCTTCCTCCAAAAGCAGATTTCAGCCACGTTACTGTCTTCTACTCCCCACCCCATCTCCCCTACAGCCCCCAGGGAGACAAAAGGAGAAGTGGGGAGAGGAAACCTGGAAAGTGTTGACATCAAGCATGGGCAAGGGAGAAGTTTTCCCTTGATGCCCATTCTTGACCTCATCTGACTTCTGAGCCAGGCTGCCTCTCAAGTAGACCCAGGGCAGAGGAAACTAACTGTAATTAGCCAGCCTAAATTTAGCCCCAAGAGGCAGGTGATGAAGGCATGGGACTACCTCACAGCTGATTTTTCATCTCAAGCTGAATGGTTTCTTTCAAAAAAGGCCCAAACCATGGTTCTTTTCCTTTGTGATAACTTCGATAGCAGTCCCCACTGTGGGATCCACTCCTGCCAGGCCCAATAAGGCCAGCAGCTGGCCAGCTTGGAAGCTGGAGCTCATGGCATAGGAGAGGGGATAGCACTTATTGATTTATTGAGTATATATTGTGTGCCAGACATGGACTAAGTGCTTTGTATATCTCTTCCCAATATCTCTGTGAACTGGTTTTATTTTCCTTTATTCACAAATAAACCGTGGCTCAGAGAGGTTAAGTAACTTACCCAGGCTCGCCGGTCTAGTAAGTGGCAGAACTGAAATTTGAACCCAACCAGACTATGATACTGGAGACCTGTTCTCTTTCTACTGTACAGGCCTCTACCCCTATACAGCTGCCAACTGGTCTGAGTCCCAGCTCTCCTGTCCCTGTTATTCCCTCCCAGGTGAATGGCCACAATTCAAGCCCTGATGCCCATGGCAGGAAACGCCTCAGGGAAGACCTGCAGGAGTTCCTGGGCCGGGAGGCCCCACTGCACCTGCTGGATGACCTCACCAAGGTGAATCCTGTGACACTGGAGACAGGTATGGGCCTCTCTCTCCTCACGAGTGCCATCTCCAAGAGGGTGGAGGTGTAGTGTGGGTATTTAGCACAGCTTCTGCTGGCCAGACCAAGGCAGGCAGGACTCCTGACCTAGAGCCAGATGCGCTGCTCCAGACCTGCCTGGCAGCTGCACCTGGGCTTCCCAGCACAGATTTTGCTCCAGATTTGGTGCTCATCTTAATTAGATCTTGTACCTATTCATCAGGGAGCTGCTGGGATCTAATGGCTCTTGGCTAATTGCAGAGGGAGCACTGTTAGGCAGATGTCTGTGTGTGCTAGTGTCTACATTTAAGCCAGAATTTGCTAAAGGCACCTCTGCCTCAGTCCTGAGGTGTTTGCAGGCCCGGTACATGGCAGATACATTCTACACCAATGCTGGCTGCACCCTGGTGGCTCTGAACCCCTTCAAGCCTGTCCCTCAGCTCTACTCGCCAGAGCTGATGAGAGAGTACCACGCTGCTCCTCAGCCCCAGGTAAGACTCAGCCACTTCCTGGGCCTCAGGGCTCTCCTGCCTCCCCCTAGGCCTCCTTGCAGCTTCCCTGTCCTTATTCATCTATTCATCAGCCATGCAGTCATTTAAAAGCTGATGCCACAGCCCTGCCCACCAGGAGCTCAAGGAATTTTGAACACATGACAGTGATGCAAAGTGGGAGATAAATATTTGCTTAACCGAGTTTGGAACCTAAAATAGGGACAGAAGACAAAGTATTTTTTTTCTTGTTTGTGAATTTATTAATATTAATAGGAAAGGATTTACAAAGGTGTATTTGTGTATTTAACAAGCCACTTTTTTGGAAAAGAATAATATTACATGTGATAAGAATTGCCCTAGAAAATTTAGCACATGTTCATCTCTACTGAGAGGAATAAATTGGTAGTGGTTGTTGGGGGAGGGGGCGTGGATAGTGGGTGGTGCTGGCAGGGAAGAGACCGGCTGGTATTCAAGTGCATGGTGTGTTCAGGGAGAGGCAAGATCAGACTTGCTGGTGGGAGGGAGCTCTTGGGAGAGAGGTGGTATGAGGCAGATGAGGCGGGAAGAGAGCGCTGAGGCTGGTGGTGAGGGGTCTAAGGCACCACAGCAGGCGGAGAGAGTCTACAAAGCTGCTTCACTAGGAGTGGAGGTGGGACCGAACAGAGCCCACTGTGGGGTACTCTGGAAGTTGGGGGAGTTGTGTTCCATAAGGTGAGACAGGAGGCAGGGAGAATAGTTGGAGGCCTTGTTACAGCCTAGGGAAGAGGTAACCGGGACCAAGAGCAGATGGCGAGAGGTACAGTTCTGACACCATCCAGAACTGTGCCTTCTCCCTTCAGGAGGCTGTGGGTGGGTAAGTGATTGCTGCTGGGTGGGCAGTGCTAGGCTGGCTAGGCATTGTGCAGATGGCCTGGCCCTCCAGAAACTCATGCATGATTTAATGTCCAAGTGGAATCCATGTGAAACCTGTCCTGAGAGCCCATATCTCACTGACTGCCTGCCTCCCCAAAGGCAAAAGCCCTGTCACGGTCCTCTCTGTTTCCCCAGTGCCCAGCTTGATGCCCAGCACACTGAGGACTAATATTTGGTGATGGAAAGAAGAACAGTAGCCTTGGGATTCAAATCACATAGTTACACTTTCTTGCTGAGTGGCCTGGGGAAGGTTATTTAACCACTCTAAACCTCAGATTTCTTGTCTATAAAATAGGATTAGCTATCTAGCTAACACACAGACTTTTGACACAGGAACTTGGAATAAACTGCAAAATACAATAACATAAAATAATAAAGAGCAGAATAAGACTATTAAGGTAAGACACGATGGGAGGATGAAGTGTTCAAGACCAGCACTGCTTCCACACTGAGAGAAGACGAGTGGGTAAAGCCACCGCCAGGGTCCCACAGTTTGACCTCACATTGTTACATCCAGGACATTTTTCTAGAGGAAGCCTCCTGGCACTGCTATTGGCAGCCTTTCCCTCTCAGCCAACATTCGGTCAACCACTCCTTGAAGACAGGCGTTCCCTCATGTGACCTTTCACCCCTTGATGTTTCAGAAGCTGAAGCCCCACATCTTCAGTGTGGGTGAACAGACCTACAGGAATGTCAAGAGCCTGATCGAGCCAGTCAACCAGTCTATTGTTGTCAGTGGAGAGAGTGGTGCTGGAAAGGTAGGAGGGCCTCTTGCCCACTCTGTCAACTTCGTGACTGGCCAGGTGGGCGGAGAGGCAGGGGTGTCATTTCTCATGGAGCCATTTGCTACCTGGTCATTCCCAGGCTGGCTCAAGTAGGAAGTCAGTGTGCCGTGGTGGGCAAGCTGGAAAGGAAGCCAAGAGACAGGGCTCTAGTCCAGGCTCTTCCACCTGCTCTCATGTAACTCTGGGTGAGACACTTTGCTCCCCAAACCATTTTCTCATCATAGGTCTCTCCCAGCTCTTACTCCAAAAGTCAGCTATTGGAGAGTCCAGCCCAGTGGTTAAGAGCACATCAGAAAAATATTTAGCTTCAGCTAACCTCAGTTCTTTGACCTGTAAAACGGCAAGGAGGGGAGAACCCACACCTACCTCATAGGACTTCTGTGAGAGTTCAATGAAGCAGTGCACATAAGCTTGGCACACAGCTGGGGTTATTTGTGGGAAAGGGCTTATTAGAGTAACCCACCTGTACCCTCTGTGTTGCCCATGCTGGCAAGGGCAATGCCTTGGGCCAGATGCTCCTGGTATGGTCATGTGGCTCCCTGGGTCGCAGAACCACAGCTGCTGAGACTGAGTGTTGCACAAGGATGGATGAGATGTTGCACAGCTGGTCAGAGGAGGCAATTGGTCTCACCACGTTCTTTCCAAGCCCTACCCAGCCACCCCGCCCTTTCCACAAAACTTTTACCTTCACATGGGAGTCTGTTCACCATTAACTCCCTCTGCCTACACTCACATATGAGAGAGTTGTTGAGCACTGAGTACCTGCCAGGTTCTAGGCCCTGGGCTAGAGGAATGGCAGGGGGAGGAACAGAGATGAAAAATGCAACATCCAGCTTTCAGGGAACTCTTACTCCACTGGGAAAGACAGACAAGGAACCAGATGAAGACAGTAAGCTGCAGATGAGGGGAGGAGGGGAGCTTTGAGAGCTATATCAAAGTGGCCAGTGCAATGGCAGATGCCCAGCTCCTGGACGAAGCCCATTGTCTCCCACAATTGCTCTGGGGAGCTGAGGCCAGACCTGGCTCAAGACCCATGCAACCAGAACTCAATAACCCATTATTAAGCAACTGCTATGGTTGTGAGCTGGGCCTGGTAGTATGTTTTTAAAATCTATTTTTAACAAATAGCAGCATAGTTACCTAGATCAAAAATAGAGTAATACTGCAAGGCTTACAAAGAAAAACAGCAGCTCTACCCCATATCTCTCAACCCTATTCAACCCTATTCTTTCTCTGGCTACTTTCACATCTTTTAGCAGTTTATTTGGGTGTTTGCATTATATTTCTAAATGACATACATTGTTAGTTATTGATTTTTCCATTTTGAACCTTTGTGTGGATCTTTTTAACTTGGAAACTCATGCTTTTGTTTGGGGAAATGTTTTTTATTATATCTCATAATTTAATAATTTACTCCCCTCTGTTTTCTCTTTCTGGAGCTCCTATTAGGAAGTTTGATTAATTGTCTAATATTCTTATTTTTCTCACCTATTCTTCCATATCTTAGCATTTTCTATCTTCTGGGAGATATTCTCTACCTTTCCTTTTTTTTTTTCTTTTCCTTTTTAAAAATACCTTTCAGTTCTTTTGGATTTTGAATTTTTTTTAACAATTTTAATTCTAAGAATTCTTTCCTGTTCTCTGAATATTATTCCCTCCCCCCGCCCAGCATCTTGGTCTTGTTTCATAGTTTGAATATATTACCTTGTCTTTTAGGATATTTTCATGATTTTTACTTGTCTTCTGCTCCTTGCATGAACTCTGTTTCCTACTCGTTCCTTTTCCTCCACTTCTTGTTATACTTGTCATTCAGGAAAAAGAAGTGTATGCAAAAGAAGTTTATCAAATAATTAATGATCCTTGAATTTCTGGTCATACTTAATAAGGCATTAAGCAACTGATTAGAATCTCTATGTTTATGGATAGGAGGCCTCACTACAGGTAGCTTTCTAAACTTGTCGGACCATGAATGTTTATAATTTTTCTCATGAGCTTGTCAGTGTCTCCATAAAATATTTTTTCAATCTCTTCATCAGAGAGATAGAAACTATAAAGAGTTCAATGAAAATGATAAAAATTTAAAACATGATGAACAATTCCTTCATGCTTATCAGACTAGACATGCAGAAGAATATATTAATGAACTTGACTGTAGATAAATAGAAATAATCCAAATTGAAAAACAAAAAAGTACATTCAAGAGCTGTGTACAGTATCAAATGGTTTACCATACTTGTAATTGCTGTCCCCAGGAGAAAGAGAATACAAGTCAGAAGTAAAATCTTACAAAATTAACAAACGATGGCAAGCACAGATCCTAGAAGTTCAGGAAACATTAAGCAGGATGAAAGAAAGAAAACACACCTAGACACATTATAGTCAAATTGCTGCAAACCAAACATAAGGAGAAAATCTTAAAGAAAGCTAGGAAAATAAACATTACATAAAGAGAAACAAAGATAACAATGACAACAGGCATCTTGTCAAAAACTGAAAGCCCAAAGATAATAGTGACATCTTTAAAGTGCCGAAAGAAAGTATCTGTCAACCTAGAACGCTATTACCAGCAAAAATAACTTTCAAAAATTAAAGTGAGGGCCGGCCGGGTGGCGCGATGGTTGGGAGCTGGCTTGGGACGCCGGTGGGGGAGGGGAGGCGGGGGCCGGTTCGGATCCCACATGTGAGGGCCGGTGACTCTGCCCTCCACAGCTGGGATGCTGGGCAGCGGCTCAACCTGGAGTTGGGCTCCTGTGGGTCGCCTGCGGCGGCGTGGGCTGTGGCCCCTGCTGCAGTGGTTTGCCGTGGGCGGCCGGCGGCTGCGGTGGGTGGCCGTCTGGAGGCCGGCGGCTGATCTCTCTCAGCCGGGAGGAGAGCGTGATGGTGCCAGCTTGGGCTGGTGGGGCGGCATCCTCCACAAGTAGACTGAAGAACAGGGATGACAGCGGCTTGTCTGTTCCCCTTCACCCAGTTCCCCAGCGCTGTTCCCATCCCCCCAATTCCCCAATGGAAATCTTAAAAAATAAATAAATAAATAAAATAAAGTGAAATAAAGACTTTTCCAGACACATAAAAGTCGATGGAATTTATTGCCAGCAAATCTGTACTATAAGAAATATTAAAGGAAGTTCTTTAGGCCAAAGCAATATGAAACCAGGTGAATATTTGGATACAAAGGAATAAAGAGCACTGCAGATATAAAACCTTATTTTTTGTCTCTTTATTTTATTTTTATTTATTTATATTTTTAGCTGAGCCATCCTGCCACCTGTTGGCAGCTCAGTGGCAGCTCAGCTCGGGCTGGGAATCGAACCGGCGACCCTGTTGCTCAGAGCTCGCACTCTTGAGTGAGCTCTTAACTAACTGAGCCACTCGGCCGGCCCCTTTTTGTCTCTTTAAAAGACAGTTCACTTTAAGACAAAAATAGTAACAGTGTATTGTGGATATACAATGGAATCATAAAAGAACTAAATTCAACTGTAAGCAATGAAAGAAAAAAGTAACAAAGATCACATAGAACAAATAAAAAATAAGGTGGTAGATTTAAACCCAGCCATAGTAATTATTACATTAAATGTAAATGGACTAAACACTCCACAATTAAAAGACAAAGAATGTCAGATTGGGCTTTTTTTTTTAAAGCAAAATGCAAATTATATGATATCTTTAAGAGACCCAATATAATCATAAAGACATAAATAGATTCAAAGTGAAAGAATGGGAGAAGATAGTCCATTCCAACAGTAATCAAAGGAAAACTGAAGTAGTTATATTAATATGGAACAAAGATTTTAGAACAAGAAATGTTACTAAGGATAAGACATTTCATTTCTTTTTCTTTTTTTTTTTAACTGAGCCATCCTGCCACTTGTTGGCAGCTCAGCTTGGGCTGGGCATCAAACCGCTGTTGCTCAGAGCTCACACTCTTGAGTGAGCTCTTAATCAACTGAGCCACTCAGCCAGCCCTAAGGATAAGACATTTCATATTGATAAATTGGTGAATTCATCAAGAAGAGAAATAATACTAAATATGTATGTTCCTAATAACGGTTTCAAAATACATGAAGTACAAACTGATAAAATTGAAAGGAGAAATAAAATCAAAATTGTTGTTTGAGATTTGAGCATTCTTTTCAAGTACACATGGAATATTTACCAATATAGAGCATATTCTGAGCCACAAAACAAATCTCAATTTGAAATATTAAAATCATACAAACTATATTTTCTACCCTGAGCAGAATGGAACTAGGAAAAAAAAAAAACAAAGACACCAGGAAAAATCCCAAATTCAACAATATCCTTCTAAATGTCCTATGGGTCAAAGATGAAATCACAAGGGATACTAGGAAATCATTTGAACTGAATGAAAATGGAAGCACAACATATCTAGATTTATGCTTTAAAGGAAAGCAGTGCCTAGGAGGAAATTTGAAGCATTAAATGCTTATATTAGAAAAGAATAAAGAACTCAAATCAGTGATCTGAGCTTCTACCTTAAGAAACTAGAGGCAGGGGAGAAAAATAAAGGTAAACCCAAAATAAGCAGAAGGAGAAAATAAAGTGAAAAATCAATAAAATAGAAGACAGAAAAATAATAGAGAAAATAAATGAAATCAAAGACTGTTTTTTGTTTGTTTTGAAGATTTTTTTGGAGAATTGGGAGAGGGGAACAGCGTTGGGGAATCGGGGAAGGGGAACAGACAAGTTGTTGTCATTTTTGTTCTCAGTCTAGTTGTGGAGGACATCGCTTCACTGGCCCATGTTGGTATTATCATTGCGCTCTTCCCGGGTGAGGCAGATCGGTCGCCGGCCACCGGACGGCCGCTTACGGCGGCTCTTGGCAGCTCATGCCGGCTGCCGGCCACTCACAGTAGTTTATGGCAGCCTACGCCGTCGCCAGCGACTCGTGGCAGCCCAGTCCAGGTTGAGCTGTTGTTCACCATCTTAGCTGTAGAGGGCGCAGCATCACTGTCCCTAATGTGGGATCCGAACCAGGACTCTGCTGCTCAGAGCTGGCGTCCTGAGTCAATTCTTACCCAACACACCACTCCGCCGGCCTCACCAAAGACTGTTTTTTGACATGAATAATCAAATCGATAACCCTCTAATCAAACTTAAAGACAGAAAAAGACACAAATTACCAAAGTTAGAAATAAAATAGACATCATAGATACCAATTTGTAAAGATCCTACAGATGGATAAGAGATTATTATGAACAACTTTATTCCAATAAATTCTATAATTTAGATGAAATGGAGAAATATTTTGAAATGCACAAACTACTGAAGCTCACACAAGAAAAAATATATAACTTGAATAGTCTATATTTGTGAAAGAAATTGAAGTCATAGCTTAAATAAAGCTCCAGGCCCAGTGGCTTCACTTGTGAAATCTACCAAGTATTTAAGGAAGTAATGTTACTAATTCTACACAATTCTTTGAGAAAATAGCAGAGAGAAAACATCTCCCACCTCATAGACCTAAAGAATTTACAACTTTTTAACAAAGATAGTGCCCAAAAGCAAAGAAGGAAGCCCCTGCCCCACCCAAAGCCGAAGCCAAAGCAAAGGCTTTGGAGGCAAAGAAAGCAGTACCGAAAGGTGTTCACGGCCACAAAAAAACAAAAGACCTCCCTGTCACCCACCTTCCGAATGCCCAAGACATTGTGGCTCCGAAGGCAGCCCACATACCCTTAGAAGAGCCCCCCTGGAGAAACAAGCTTGACCACTATGCCATCAGCAGGTTCCCCCTAACTACCGAGTCAGCCATGAAGAAGACAGAAGACAACAACATGCTTGTGTTCATTGTGGATGTCAAGGCCAACAAGCCAGATGAAACAGGTTGTGAAGAAGCTCTGTGACATTGACCTGGCCAAGGTCGACACCCTGATCAGGCCTGATGGAGAGAAGAAGGCATATGTTCAATTGGCTCCTTAACTATGATGCTTTGGAGGTTGCCAACAAAATTGGGATCATCTAGTCCAACTGGTTAATTCTAAATGTAAAAAATTTTCACTGTAAAAAAAGAAAAGATTTACAAAATAGCTGTTACAACTAAAAAGTTGTAGTGATTTATAGAGTTTAGCAAGGCGACAGATACAGTTAATATATTAAAAAATCAATTGTATTTTTATGTCCCAGCAACAAATAATTGGAAATTAAAATGAAAATGTATTTCATTCCAGCTGTTTAAAAGCAACACAATAAAATTTTATAATTAGATTGCCTAGGTATAAATCAGAGCCCTATCATTTACTAGATATAAGATTTTCAATAAAACTTAAAATTTTCCTGTGACTCAGTTTCATCATTTTGAAAACAGGTATAATTGCACCTGCACCTATAGAATTGGTAAGAAAATGCACAGACAGTCTCCTTAGCTCAGAGTAATCAACATTAGCTGTGAGCCCTCAGACACCGAGTAGCCTGCACAGGTCAGGGTCTATTGTCCCGTCTCTGCCCCAGCCCCCGTATTTCTTAAATGCATCCTCTGGAGCTAAGAGGAGCAGCAGTAAGCACCCCCACTTCACAGAGAGGGGGAAGTGGCTCGCCCAAGGACACAGTTGAATTCAGCATTCATCCATTTGGTCAGCACCACGCATGGCGGAGAAGAGGGTGCTAGTGGGCACTGTTCCCTCGGGCAGGCTCAGAAGTGGGAGGGAACTTGGACACGGCTCCCACAGGACTGTTTCTGCCACAGACATGGACATCCCGCTGTCTGATGAAGTTCTATGCTGTGGTGGCTGCCTCACCCACATCCTGGGAGAGCCACAAGATTGCAGAGAGGATCGAGCAACGAATCTTGAACTCCAACCCTGTCATGGAAGCTTTTGGTGAGCTCGATGTCCTTTGCACAGTGCCTTCAGTCCCATTTCCTCTGGGATTTGTCACCCTCCAAGGAAAGGAGCAGTGAGACTCTCTCTTTGGGGATTCGAGGATGAGTGTATCATTCACCGCCTTGGACCCCCAGCCTCCTCCCAGGTACTCTTAGCCTCTTTGCAGTAGAGGGACCATCATTCTGTCATCCCCTCCTTCTAGCCTAGGCAGATTTAACTGGTGCTGGAGGGGTCCGCATTGCTCACCTAATCCAAATCCTGTCCTTCCGTACAGTTTCCAGATGGTTTGGAGAAGAAGGGGACTTGGCTCAGGATGTACAACAATTAGAGCCCATGTTGAGACTAGATGCGGTGCCTTACTGCCTAACTCAGTAGTGACAGCTTGTTTTTGACCCTTTCCCTTCAAAGAACGCAGTCCCTGGCTGCCTAGGCGTGCTCACTTCAGTTTACTGCCAGAAATTCTAACTCCTGAATCGCACTTTCTGAAGCCCGAGTGCCCCTGTCCTAGTCCTGTCCCCTGGGACATGGAAACTAACAAAGGGGCCTTTAGGTGACCTGAGGATAGACATGGCCCCAGCAGACCTGCAGCTGCCTTGCCCCCCTGGGGACTCTGTAAGCAGGGGAGGGTATAAACAGAGGTGTGATCCTAGGGAACGCATGCACGCTGAGGAATAACAACAGCAGTCGCTTCGGGAAGTTCATCCAGCTCCAGCTGAACAGGTAATGGCTGCAGCCACCCTGCTGACGGGCCCGACAGGGACAGGGAGTTTGCATGTGGCTGGGGCGGACTCCAGCCTGGGCTGCCCCTGTGGGCAGAGCCCTGTCCCGGCATGCCTGTAATGGGCTTCATCAGGACCAGTGAGCCCTGAGGGTGACCTTTGAATCTAGAGAACCATAGCTACTCCAGCCTTAGGGACCCTGGGGCAGTGTGGTTGTCATAGCCTGTGTATTCCTCCTGGCTTCTACCCTTGCTTGGGGACTTCTAGTTAAACAGCCACCTCTCTGGGCCATACCCCTGACCTTGAAGCTGGGGCTTCTGCTTCTGCCTTGGGATGGGGCAAAATGAGGTATAGAGGCCTTGGGCCTGCCCACCGGAGCTGGTTGCAGGGGTTATGTGCCAGACCACGCAAGGACCTAGTCCTCATGACCCCCATGGGCTAGGCAGAAGCGCTCGCAGGCGGGTGGGGATGGGGTGCAAGGTTGCAGTCTGGCACACAGTAAGTGCCTAATAAATGTGTATGGAATGAATGGGCTCTGGCCTGCTTGCACCCAGGGCCCAGCAGATGACTGGAGCTGCAGTCCAGACCTACCTCCTAGAGAAAACTCGAGTGGCCTGCCAGGCCTCCAGTGAGAGGAACTTCCACATCTTTTACCAGGTCTGTGCCAGGTGGGGCCCACAGCTGCCCAGATGCTGGGCAGAAATGGGCTATGCCTCTAAACTCTCTCCTGCCCCACCCCATGTCTCATGCCTGCCTCTTCACCCGGCTTTCAGTGATGCCACCACTTATTCCTGCAAACTTTATGCAATACTGTCTCACACTAGACCTTGGCCCCCTGGGATGGTTTTGGCCTGGGGATGTGTTACCTCTTCTATCAGACCAGAAGTTCCTGAGGACTCTCCTTAGGATGCCAGCTGTCTCCAACAGAATGAAGACTTCCTAGAGCTGGGCTCCTTCCATCAAACTGGGGGTCCCCCATGCATGGATAGTATGTCTCCCTGCTCTCAGATTGGGCCTGGGGGTTCCCCAGACAGGAGCTGTGCTTTCCCCATCAGACCACAGGCCTCCTCAGTGGGATGTTTGACATCGGGTTGGAGGCACCCAGAATTGCTCGCTGCTGCTTTTGACCTCGTACCTGCCTGGGCACTGTATAGGGACCTCTCAGCCTTGTGATGCCGCTGCCATTTCTCACTCCTCTCATCCCAACCCCAGGCCTACACAGGCCTGGGCTTCCTGCACCCCCAGTTCAGCCACCTGTCCCCTCTCAGATCTGCAAAGGGGCCAGCGCAGACGAGAGGCTCCAGTGGCACCTCCCGGAGGGAGCTGCCTTCTCCTGGCTGCCCAACTCAGAGAGGACCCTGGAAGGTAGGGGGAGCCTTACCCAGTACCCTGGGCTGGCCCAGGAGCACCCACCTACCCTCTGCCCAGGGCCTGCCTTCCTCCCCACTTGCTGCCCCTGCTGATCTCTGGTCCTGACCCTGGGCTGTGACTTGCATTCCTTTTCAGAGGACTGTTTTGAGGTGACCAGAGAGGCCATGCTTCATTTGGGCATCAACACCCCCACCCAGAACAACATCTTTAAGGTCAGAAGAACAGCCGTGGCACTTAGATTTGGCAGAGGTGACGGGCAGCTCTTTTCGTAGGGCCCTTCTCTGAACTTGTAGGTCTCTTTTTTTGAGGATCTTGGACTTTGGGCCTCATTGTGCAGTCTCCAAGGGGTCAACCACACCTCTGTGCTGCTGAGCCTGGACACAGGGTGTCAGGGTACACAGTGGACAGGGGACATAGTGCTGCAGTGTAGAACATAGCACAGTGATCAACAGAGCTCAGAGGGCAAGGTGCCTAGGTCAGCTATTGCCGCAGTCATCAGAATAGAGGAATAATGCTGCCACATGTTTGCCTAGTGTGTTAAAAGGTAAAAATCATGTTTACATCTCAAATCGTTGATTTTTTCAACAGTCCTATGTGTCTGGAGTGCCCATTTTACGCTTGAGAAAACGAGAGAGGTAAAGTGACTTGCCCCAGGTCAGACACCACTAAGTGATACAGATAGAGTTTGTACCAGACAGCAATTCCAACTTCCCACCTTCTTTCTCCTCCTCGCAGGACATAGCTGACCCAGGTCAGCTGGGCCCCTCGCATCCCCAGTAGTGGCCTCCCTTCTCCCCTCTGTCTTTGCTGACATGGCTGACTACCTCCCTGACCCTCCCCTCCCCACCCACCAGAGCATAGATAGGGCAGGCTGGCAGCAGAGACAGGGGAGCCCCTGCAGGAAGATGGCAGTGCAGTGGAAAGTGACCTCCACCTCCAGACGGGAGCTGCTCAGGCAGGGAGGGGGTCACAGCCAGTATGGGCAACACCAGGCAAGCACTTGGCCAGACGGAATGCACAACTGGGCAGCACTAGGTGTCTGGACAGGTATGCTGGCGTGGGGGTGACACGACCCTCTTCTTTCTACAGCCCCTGGGGGCTCATCCAGATGGATTGTTGAATGCAAAGGCAAGAGGGCTCCCATTGTACATAGACCAAGGTCACAGATCCTCCCCCAGGCTGGGCCATCAGAAGCCCAAGAGTGCTAAGAAAGGGCCAAAAGGAGCCGGAGCCAAGCCCCACCAGCCACACAGAAGCCTGCTCCCCAAATAACAGGAGCCATGTCCCCCTGGGATACATCGGAAGTCAGGCTGACTGGGTTCCATTTAACCTCTCCCCTTCTCATCTCTGTCACGGGAACCATCACGGCACATGCCTCACTGATGCTGAAAAGCGCAAACGAAATGATGCATGTAACATGTATAGAATCGTGTCTGGCAGAGTCTCGTAGTAAGTGGGCAGCAAGTGGGAGCTGCTTTTATTATCCCATTATGATTATATTCAGCAGGAGAGAGGCCCTTTCCAGGCTAGGCTCCAGCCCTTGAGAAGGTGCCCACATCGTGTCTTCTTTCTCCTTTCTCCTGCCCCCTTAGGTCCTAGCTGGACTGCTGCACCTCGGCAACATCCAGTTTGCTGACTCCGGGGACGAAGCCCAGCCCTGCCAGCTGATGGACGATGCCAAGTGTGAGGGCCGGGGCGGGGTGGCTGCATCTCAGGGTTTGGTCATGTACCCAGGAAGCAGGGCAGGCCCTGCCCAGAAAATAGCCACCATTGGTGGGATTGAGTGGGAGGCCCAAGGGCGAGATTTGGAATCAATTCCCTTGATTAACCCATCAGCTGTAGGGCCCTGCCCTGGATACGTTACTCCTCACCCCGTCTCTGGTGAGCAGGCAGCATCATCCCCATTATACAGACGAACAAACAAGTCAGAGGGTTTATAAAGTGATTTGCCCCACACGTAGCAGTGTGGACTGGGACACAGAAGTCCTGGGTTCAAATCCTACCTCTGCCTTTGGCAAGTTTCTTCGCCCACCAGAACCTGGGTTTCCTCTGTCCATTTGGGTGGGTCATGGTTCCACTGCAGTGACTTCATCGTGCCTTGTGAAGAGGGCTACTTGGATGGAAGGTGGTTTGTTTCTCCCAGGCTCTTTCAGGACATCGGCCTCGCTGTTGTGGCTCCCAGAAGACCCACTGCTGGAGACACTGCAGATTAGAACCATCAGGGCGGGCAGGCAGCAGCAGGTGTTCCGGAAGCCCTGCTCCCAAGCTGAGTGTGACACCCGCCGAGACTGTCTAGCCAAACTGGTCTACGCACGGTGAGCAAGCTGGGCCCTGCCCTCCTGCCAAGTTCTTCCCCTATCTGGAGTTGAACCAGACACCATCATACAATAGGCCCAGGCCCAGGCCGAGGGCTGCCAGACAAAGCCGACGGGTTCCTCTCTTTGCTCCCCAGACCCTTGAGGACAGCAGGGATTGGCTCCTGGAGTTTTCCCGAGCAAGGCCCTTGGCCTCAATTCCCGAGTACTCTGCATGGGGAGGTTGCCACAGCCTGGCCTAGATTCAACTCATTATTAAAGTACAGGAGCCTGCCTTGACCTTGGCAATCAGTGAGGAAAGCCTGCCTAGCTGTCCGCAAGGCAGGCCCCAAAGGTGATCTGGGGCCCTCCCAGTTCCAGGTTCAGACCCATGGGTGAATAGGCTCCTCTGTCTCTGGTGCCCTTGTACTTCATTCAGCTCTTTGTAGTCGCTGGGGAATGTGATGAATGGCTGAGCCAGAAGCTCAATCCAGAGTCTTGGGCAACACAGCACGCTGCAGCAAGTGCGAGCCCAGAACGGGGTGATGGTGGGGGTCCTGGCCTTTTCCAAGTGGGTTATATGGGCATCCCTACCCTCAGTTCTGAGAACCTTCAGGAAGTCATGTAAAGGTATCAAGGGGCCCAGAATCCTTTGAAATTATGGCACAGAACATTTGTGTATCTGCGTGTGCATGTGCTTATGGGAACTTGGGCATCTGGGGAGAGGGTCCCCCTGAACTTCCCACAGAGCCAAGAGCCTGAGAAACACTGCTGAGGGAATAAGATCCTCTGAGTTAAAAATGGTCCAGGGCAGCGGGGCTCAGACTGAACTCAGTTCAGCAGGAGACTCAGTTCCCACTGCCTCAAAGCTAATTTCAGCTCAGAATTTTGGGCCAAAGATTATTAAAGCCTTTGCATCGAGTGACTTCAAAATGAGCAGATAAAGTACAATCACAGAGTAAGCCTCTAACCATAGAACATTTTATACACAGTAAACATCAGGTCATTATATCACCAGGTCACTCATTTTCAGTACCTCAAATGGGTATTTGAAGCCCCTATTGTGAAAA